TGTTCCTCTTTTTCTAGTTTCCTAAAATAAAGTTTAGATTATAATTTTAGCTCTTTCTTTTTTCCTAATATATGCATTTAATGCTCAAAATGTCCATCTGTGCACTGCTTTTGGCACATTCCCAAAACTTCTATAAGTTGTGTTATTTTTATTTAGTCCAAATATTTTTAAATGTCTCTTTAAGATTTCTTCTTTGACTTGTGTTATTTAGAAGCATGTTGTTTAATCTCCACACACTTTTGGATTTTCCAGTGACCTTTCTGTTATTGATTTCTACTTTAATTTCATTGTGGTTTAAGAGCAGATATTGTATGATTTCTATCCTTTTAAATTTGTTTGTTCATTTTTATGGCCTATAATATGTTCTGTCTTGTTGTATTGTTCTATTTGAGTTTGAGAAGAATGTGTATTCTGCTCTTGTTGGATAAATTAGTCTATAGACATCAATTATATTTAGATAATTGATGGTGTTATTGAGTTCAGCTACGTCTTTCCTGATTTTCTGCCTGTTCAATCTGTCCACTTTTGATAGAAGGGTATTGAACACTCCAACTGTGATAGAGGATTAATTTTTTACCCTTAAAGTTTTCTCAGCTTTTGCCTCATGTAGTTTGATGCTTTAATTTAGGTATAAATGTTATACCTTCTTGGAGAACTGACCACTTCATCACTATGCCATGCCCTTTTTTATCCGTGATACATTTCCTTTCTTTTAAGTCTTCTCTGTCTGAAGTTAATACAGATATTCCTGCTTTATTTTGATTAATATTAGCATGTTATATCTTTCTCATCCATTTACTTTTAACCTATGTCGGTCTTTATATTTAAAGTAGGTTTCTTGTAGACAACATATATTTGGATCTTGTTTTTTGATCCACTCTGATAATCTCTGTCTTCTAATTGGTGCATTTAGATCTGTGAAGTTCAACAAGATTATTTATATAGTTGAATAATATTTACCATATTTGTAACTGTTTTATATTTGTTGCCCTATTCTCTGTTCCTGTTTTTTCCTTCCATTCTTTTTCTGCCTTTTTGGAGATTTTGTGTGATTCACATTTTTCTCCTTTCTTAGCAAATCAGTAATATATATATATACATATATACAAACACACACACATATACAAATATATATATTTAACTTTTTAAAAGGTTTCCCTAGAATTTCCAAAATACATTTACAATTCATTCAAGTCCACTTTCAAATAACACTATACGACTTCACAAGTAGAGTGAGTACTTTATTATTAAAAAAGAATCCTAATCGCTTCCTCTTATTCCTTGTATCATTGTCATTTATTTTACCTATATATGCACATATAATATGTATGATATGTATATAATTATATATAGTCAAACATATTATTAATAGATCAATTAAGAATAAGAAAGTTACAAGGTTTTATTTATATTCACTTCTTCCTTATTCAATATTCTTCCTTCCTTTATGTAGCTTTGAGTTTATGACCTCTATTATTTTCCTTCTCTTTAAAATACTTCTTTTAACACTGCTTGAAAGGCTGTTCTATTAGCAACAAACTATTTCAATTTTTCTTTGTCTGAGAAAGCATTTGTTTCTCTCTTATTTTTGAAGGCTAATTTTGCAGGGTACAAATTTCTAGGTTGGTCGTTTTTCCCCCTCAATACTAACTAGATTACATCACTGTCTTCTTGCTTGCAGGATTTCTGAGGAGAGGTTGAAAGTAATTCTTGTCTTTGTTCCTTTTTCCCTCTGGATTTCTTCAAGGTTTTTTCTTTATCTTTTATCTTCTGTAGTTTGAAACAGTATGCCTAGGTCTAGTCTTTTTTGGCATTTATCATAATGTGTCTTCTGAACTTACTGGGTCTGTTACCTAACATTAATTTTGGAAAATTCTCATCTTCTTGTTTCATATATTTCTTATGTTTCTTTTTCTCTTTCTTCTCTTCCTGGTTCTCCCGTTATGTGTGTAACACGTTTTACAGTTGTGCTACAGTCCTTGAATATTAGGGGGTTTTGCTGTTGTTGTCGTTGTCGTTGTTGTTGTCTTTTTTCTTTGCTTTTCAGTTTTGGAGGTTTCTATTGTGATATGTTCAAGCTCAGAGATTTATCTCCTCCACTGTCTACTAATAAAGTTGTTCTTCATTTTGTTACAGTGTTTTTGATTTCAAGAATTTATTTTCAGTTCTTTCTTAGGATTTCCAGCTCCTTGCTCATGTTGCTCATCTGTTTTTGCATGCATGCTGTCTACTTTATCCATTAGAGCTCTTAGCATCTTAATCATAGTTGTTTTAAATCCCCAGTCTGATATTCTAATACCCCTACCATATCTGGTTTTGATGCTTGCTTTATATCTTCAAATTGTGTGGTTTGCTTTTTTAGTATGCCTCGTGATTTTGTCTTGATAGCTGGGCAGGATACATCACGTGAAGGAATTGTTGTAAATAAACCTTTAGTAATGAAGTGTAAAGGGGAGAGGAGAGGGGAAGTGTCCTATAGTCCTTTAATTAGGTCTCAGTCTTTTAGTGAGCCTATGCCTCTGGAATGTAAACTTCACCAGTGTTTGTAAGGTTTTTTTTTTTTTTTTTTTTCCTCTCCCCTTAGATGGGAGAGGATGTCTAGAGTGTGCTGGAGTTGAAAATTTGCCTTCCCTCAGGTTAGTTAGGCTGTGATAATACTCCAGCAGGTTAGGCTCTGATTAACTAGTTTCTCCTAAGGGCAGGCCTTGTTAAGAGTAAAAGAGTGCTCTGGCATATTTAAAAATGGTACCTATTCTCTTCCACCTGCTAGAAGCATGAGGTAACTTTTCTCCAAAACTTACTTTGAGAACCTGATCAAGCTCCTGGAGGCAAATCTCACAAAACTGGGGTGGGGGTGGGGGGTCCTCCCTGTGACTGAGTCTTTTTGGAGTGTTTAACTCTCAGAATTGTTCACAGTGAAACGCAGCCATTACTCAGTCAACTACAGTGCAGATTTTCCTACTCTGGTGTTGGTTCCCAGAGTAATTTTCTCTCATGAGTCTCTCCTGTCTGTTTTGCCAATCTGGGGGTCTGTGGTTTGCCCTGTGTCCTCACTTTTCTTACAGATCCTGAAAGAGTTGTTTTTTTTTTTTTAGCTTTTTCAGCTTTTTACTTGTTAAGATGGAGTGATGACTTACATACATAACTGGAAAGTAAAAGTCCCTGTGCAGTTTTTTTTGTATATTAATTATACCTCAAAAAGTGTTTAGAAAAAAAAGAAAATAAAAATATACGTAGTATTGTGTGAAACCTATTCTTTCTGGTGAGTTATCACTCAGAACCCAAGATCAGTATTAATAGTAAAACATAGTAGATATTATGATGTGACAACCAAATAAATTTCTAAAATAATTTAAAAATTCAACCCACAATTCATGTTAAAATATTATGAAACTAGGAATAAATGAACCTGTTTAAATAAAAAAAATAAATATGGGATAATCATAGAAATAAATGGTCTACTTTATGATAAAATATTGGAAGTAACACAATCACATAAGGATATAACAAATATGTTTTATTCTTGAACACTGAACTGAGGGTTCTAATAAGTGCAACCAGATCAAAACAAATAAACAAAAAACTAGAAGCAGAAATAATTTTATACAAGGGGCTGAAACACCATGGGTAGAGTTAAAGGGTATTCCATAAGTAGAATATGATCATGTACTTAAAACCCAAAAGAATGGACTATGATTTCAGTAGCAGGTTACCTAGGTAGTTCTTGCTGAAATACACTTATTTGCAGAAGACCTAATTCTATATGTAGAAAATTCTAAGCAATGTATTCATATGTAAAATTAGTAAGTGCATTGATCAGGGTTGCATAATACAAAGTCAATATGTCAATTACATTGCTACAAGAGCAACACATAATAAGATAAAAATCTCAAAAATGAATGTTAAATATATAACCAAAAACAACACCCTTAGGAATAAAGTTAACAAATATACAAAATCTCTACGCTGAAAACTACAAGAGACATTAAAGAAGAGATAAATAAATGAGAAAACATACATGGTCATGAATTATAAGACTCATTATTTATATACCAACATTTCTCAAGTTGATCTATAAATTAACCTTGGTCTGAACAAAATCCTTGAATTTTTTGAAACTGATAGGCTCACTGTAAAATTTATAAGGTATCGTAAATACTTAAAAAAGGCAAAACAATATTGAAAATGAAAAGTTAGTAAACTTGCATTTCCTGGGTTCAAGACTTAGTAAAAATCTACAGTAATCAAGAAAGTATGGTATTGGCATAAGCATATAGAGCTAGAACAAAGGAACAAAATAGAGGCTGGAAAGAGACCCATGCATGTATGGTCAATTAACCTTCTTCAAAGGCTCCAAAGAAATTTAATTGGGAAAGAAAATTATTTAGGAAAAAATTGTTCCTGAACAACTGTAGAAGCAGGGAAAAAAGAGTCTTGACTCCAAACTTTCATCATATCAAAAATTAATTTAAGATCGATCATAAGCTTAATCAAAAAAAGCTAAAATTATGAAGGTTTATAAAGAAAAGTGAGAAGAATATTTTTATCCTTGTGGTAGGAAAGTACTTTTGAGATAAAAAACACTAATGAAAAAAGAAATAAAAGTGACATATTGAACTTTAGCAAAATTAAACTTTTCTCTACATCAAAATATACCTTTTAGAAACTGAAAGAACAAGCCACAGACTTAGAGAAAATATTGGCAGTGCATGTGCCAGGTAAAGGAATAATATTCAGAATATATTTAAAAAAACTAGAAATAAATAACTAAAGTAATGTAACATAAGAAGGTGGAAATTTGAGCATACATTTTACAAAAAACAAAAGATATGCAAATGGCCAATTAGTTCTCAAAAAGCTTCTCAAAATAATTAGTTATAATGGAAATAAAATATGAAACCACAATGCGATATGACCATCATTCTTTTTAAAAAAAATTTTTTTAATTAATTTTTTTGGGGGGAGGTAATTAGCTTTATTTTACTTACTTATTTTTAATGGAGGTACTGAGGATTGAACGTAGGACCTTGTGCATGCAAGGCACAAACTCTACCACTGAGCTATACCCTCCCCTGAACATCATTCTTTATAATGGCTAAAATGAAAAACAACTGAAATCAAAATTTTGGCAAGGATGTGGAAAAATCAGAAATTTTATACATGGCTTGAGAGTTAAATAACATAATCACTTTGGAAAAATAGTTCAACATTTTCTTATGAATTTCTTATACCTGCTACCATAAGTATTTATCAAAGAGAAATAAAAGTATATGCTCAAAAAAGATTTGTATGAAAATGTTCATAGTAGCTAATTTACAATCCCCCAAATTTGGAAACAATCAACAGGAATGGATAAGCTGATTTTAGACTACCAGTCAACAATAAAAAGAAAGAACTACTGATCATAGACACATCATGCGACAACAAAGATGAAACTCAAGGGGGAAGTGTTGAGCTCAAACAAAAGATTTATACAATGTGATTCTATTCATATGCAATTTAAGAGTATACAAATGTAACATATGCTACTTAAAATCAAAACAGAGTTTGCTGTGGAGAGCAGATGTTTGGCACTGATTGGAAATGAGCATGAGAGGACCGTCTGGAATGTTGGAAATGTTCTTCATCTTCATTGCAGTGTAGTTACTTCAGTATATATTCCTCAAGTCTTCTCAAAGTTAGTAGGGAAGATGTGTGAATTTCATAATGTACAAATTATAGTTCAAAATAAAAATAAACAGCATCAAGATAACTGAGGGACTGAAGATGAAATATGTATTAGAGAAATAGACAAAAGAAATAAACAGCCATAACTGCCCCTAAAAGGTATGTAAATTATATGTAAAGTTGCCTGATGTCACTTATACTAAGATAAATATAAATTAAAACTACTTTGAGATAGCTATTTTTCCTACCTTTTATAAATTGGCAAAATTCCAAAAGCTTCATTAAATAAGGCAAGACTGACAAGACTATGAGGGTAAAGCAATTTCATATATTGTATATGGACAATAGTACAATCTCTATGAAGAGAATTTGGAAAAATCTTATGAAACAAATTTGTTTTGGCCTTTTGCCCAGCAATCACACTTTTAGGAATTTATCCTGAAGACACACACTCACTAACTGGAAAATAAAAACTGACATAATATCAACAATAAAAATTCATACACAAATGCATCCACAAATACAATTTTAATAGTAACATGCTGGAAATAATCTAACAGTGTACATAGGTTATTGCCTGAAAAAAAGAGATACATCTTTATAAAGTGTTTTACTATTAAAATTGTATTTATGAATACCTTTGTGCATGTGTTTTTGTTATGTTCTAATGAGAATACTATGTAGCTTAAAAAATATAAGAAAAATCTCTGTGAATTACATAGTATGCTTTCTAGGCTATAAATGAAAAAACAAGGTCTAACAGTATATACAATATGTTACATTTTATGTAAGAAATGAAAATAAGGCTATCTTTTGAAGAATTTTATATAGGAACAGTAAATTTATGAAACTAGTGAAAATACAGGAGGTGGGTTGAAAGTGATCAAAATATCAAAGTAAACTTGCTTATAGGGGTAATAAGTAAATAACAATCAGTTCTTACTCTGGGTGAGGAGAGATACAAATATGGAATGGGGAAAGAAGAGGAGAGGAAGAATGAAGTTGAACTAAGATGCTGAACTGGAATTAAAGGCATTGAGGTTGTCATTACTAAGAGACAGAGAAGTTGATTCCTTGTTAGCAATGACCATGTTTCATGCCCACTCTAGACACTATTCCCTATTGAAAAAAATGGAAAAACTAGTGTTTCTTGTAGAAATGATTGGTTATCATTCTGGGACAAGAGGATTTCTAAGTAAACTGAAATATGTAATTGTCCAAAAAGTAAGGAAATGCTCCAAACTAATGGAAATTTGGAAAAAATCCACAGGAGACAGATTAAACAGCTCCCACTGGCCATAAATGAGCTTCAAATGAATAATGACACAGATTCTAACATACCAATTTCCAAAAAAGAATATACAAGTCCACACTTAGACTAAAACAAAATAATACTTAAATAGTAAGAAAGGGACATAGGAAAAGTTTTTCTTTACAGAATAATGCTATGCAGTAAACAGAAGACATCATTTCATTGAAAATTCAGGGCTTATTTTTATAAAAGACATCCATGGACAAAATCATTTTACAGAAGTGAATTTAAAAATGAGTATTCTGGAACACTGTATTGAAAATTTCCTATTTATTTTTGAGCATCCATAATGAGCTGTTACTTAAAATATTAAGATGTAGTAACACAAGCTCACTTGGAAATTATTAAAATTGTAAGTCACAAGCCTTTTTGCAAATTGTGAGTATATATTTTAAGTTTTATGGGCAAAGGTAAGTACTGCTTTTTAAGTGCATGTATTATTATATAAGATACACTGTCAAAATATTTTGTAATATATCAAATGCAAAAAATTAAAATAATACCATAGACATTTGTTTTTCTTAAAACACATCATGTCTTCCTATGGTGAATTCAGAAAAATCCAAACTACTTATCAGCTCCTACAATCCTCTGCCTGGACTGGCCCTTCCCTTCCCTTCCCTCTTCCCACTTTCTTTGCTGTATGCACACCATTCTTTGTCTCATGGTTGAATATGTCAAGCCCTTTCCTGTATCAGATGCTTTTTGACTCTACCTTCAGTGGTCTCCCTCCAGTTCTTTTCATAACTTTTTTTGGTTATTATTTTAAGTAGACAAATATTTCCCTGACTACCTCATATTCTCAATCACTTTATTCTTCTTACTAAGCTATTATTATTTCTTCAGAGGACTTTAAACAATTGGCAATGCTTACTTGTGAATTTGTTCACTTGTTTAGTGTTTGTTTCTTTCACCAGATTGTGCAGTCAAATGCTCTACCCTTGAGCGATACCCGCAGCTCTTTCACCAGACTGTGAATTCCATTCTCCTTACAGAACGTTGCATTCACCATGATTTCCCTAGGGCCTAGTTTGGTACATAGGACATATTGAAGGTATCAATATAGATTTTTAGAATACAGGAATGGATCAATGTTCATTGTTACTATTAACAACTCATCATTTAGTATAGATAATTGTCTTATTCTTTAAAGCAATTATCTTTAACATAAAAACTTTTGTTTTGTTACCCATATAGTAAGCATTGGTATGTGGTAGGTATTATGGGAGCAACAATAATTAAATGTGTAGGAGACACTTTCAACTTGAATCCATAATGCACATCTAGAGGGTCATGGTGATCCACCAGGATTTGCTTTGTGCTCATTGTAATTTTATTCATTACAAAATTTTTTTCAGTGATAGGAACTGTTGGATTCATTTTGGGTTTGGGGGTTTTTGTTTTTGTTTTCTGGGGTGGTTTTTTGTTTTGTTTTGTTTTCTTTTTTTAATCAGGTGTTAGACTTTATTGCCTGATGTAGTTCCATTTGTTCTCTGTGAAATATGGCTACCATCACCTTACTTTTTTATTAAGTGTATATTTATAACCTTGAGAAGCCAATGTACTCTATCCACATGGCTAGCATTTATTGTTTTATGTTCTGCACGCAAAGCTGCTTTTCTTAATAATAAGAAACAGCTGTTGTAAGCACAACAATGAATGCAATGGGTCATACATGCCTAAATTAGATACAAAGGGAGCCAAGCAGGGCTAAACTCTTTAATTCTGTCTCACTCTTCCATGATTGATGCTCTCTAAAAAGAGTGGTTGTACACTCTGTTGAGATTTAACAGATGCTCAAAGCAGCCCATTCCAGTGTACATTTGTTAGGCAGCTGTGTTTTACACCAGCAGTGATTACAATGGGGAAGCAATGTTTCCATGACAGTAAGACTGACAGAACTTACGTGCAGCAAAACTAAGGTGTAAAATAATGGAAAATATTAGTGCAGTCCACAAATGCAATCAATCATTTCTCTGGTCTATGTATGCATAGACAAAGTTAGATATCAGTACATTGGTTTGTTGTTAATATCAGTTCATATATATATATATATACACATACATTTATCACTCATTAAATCTAAAGCTCTGTTCTTTAGATAAACGATAATTGAATCACTGAATTATGTAGGGTGGTGGTTATAAGACATATGGCACTATGTATATTTTGAGGAAAAACAGAAATAAACTTAGAATTTATAGCATGTGGTACATAAGGATAGCCAAAAATTTTGCTTCTATTTTAACCTCTGTTTTCATGTATTTAAAAGTCATCTTTTGATTATTTATTTTGTGTTTCAAACTTTAAATGTTTACATTAAGAAAAATTTAACACAAAATGAAGTCATTTCTGATGCACATACCTACTTTGGAAGGAGACAAAAACTACACATAAAATAATGTCTACAGAGGATTTGCACACGATGGTTTCAAAAATTTAGTTATGTAGAATTTTTTTTTAACCTTTAGGCTGTAATGAATAATGCTGCAGTGAATATGAGAGGGCAGATATCTCTTTGAAATCCTGTTTTCAATTCTTCTGGATAAATACCCAGAAGTGGGATTTTTGGATTATATGCTAGTGTCATTTTTAATTTTTTTGAGAAATTTCCATTCTGTTTCAATAGCAACTGTCCATTTTACATTTCTACCAGAGTACAGAGGGGTTACAATTTCTTCACATCCTTATCACTATTCACTATTTTCTGTTTTGTTTTGTTGTTTTTTTTGATAATGGCTAACCCAAGAGGTATGAGGTGATATCTCATTATAGTTTTGATTTGAATTTACCTGATGATTAGTGATGTTGAGCATATGTGCATATACTTGTTGGCCATTTGTATGTCAACCCAGATATCCATCAATGGATGAATGGATAAAGAGAATGTGATACAAACATACAGTGGAATATCATTCAGCCTTAAAAAGAGAAGGAAATCCTGTCATATACTACAACAGGGATAAAGCTTGAGGACATTATGCTAAGTGAAATAAGCCAAATACATGAGAATGAATACTTCATGATTCCACTTAATAGGAAGTATGTAAAATAGTCAAACTCATAGAAGCAGAAAGTAGAATGCTTGTTA